TATTTTTATTCATTTTAAAATTACATAACTTTAGTTGAAAAATATTATGTTTAACATAAGCCTTAAATTTTAAAGGACTTTTGTTAATATTGTATTTTCATCACGAAATACAAAATAAGCTGTTTACCTGTATAAATAATTTTTGGAATAAAACTAATTAAAGTACCTTGGTTTTTATCTATATTATAGATTCTATAACTTACCTGCTATAAACAGTGCTGTGTATTAATTATTTAAAACAAATTATTAAATGAAATAAAAATACATTAATCAATTTGTTAAGTCTGTATTGTCGAGTATATATCATAAGATTTATATAAAATATACTAGATCATTTGCTCAGATTTTTTGGAATAAACTTAACCCCAAAAATGTTATCAAATTCAATCAAATTATTGCTTATACAAATAAATAATTTAAGCCTGATAAATATGGAAAAAATTAGATTGAATGAAAATGAAAAATTTATTAATCAAAATAACAATAAGTTGTAATTAAATAATAATGCAATTTATTTTCCGCCACCCCTTCCACTTCTGCCCTGAGAATTTTGAGTGTTGCCTGTTTAATTATTAATTAATTTTAGATTTCATTATTCAAATAGAATTTGTTTTCAAGTTTTTAATACAGACCTCCAGTGCCACCTCCAGTGCCACCTCCAGTACCACCTCCAGCGCCTCCAGCGCCTCCAGAGCCATCTCCCTGTCCACCACCACATGCTTGATCCTCCTGGACCTCATTGACACCCATATCGGCGCTGAGTTGTTGTCCGTCAAAGTCTGACTTAATGGCCGCTCCGTAACAGACGGCCGACACTACCAGAAGAAGACATAAAACAACGATTACTTTCATTTCGATTCCGATCTTCACTAATGAATTCTCTTTTCATTTTTCATCTCTTTATATGTTTTAATTTCAACAAAAGCTCTCTTTATGTGATTTATTTTTTCAGCCAACTATACCCTGGATTTCCATTCAATTTCTACTAATTACCTGATTATGTGTACAGCTGTCCATTTATTCAGTTGTTTTGCTTTTG